TATGAGTAATTGAGAACTAACACCAAATGCATACCTGATGTTACTCTTCTTTTCTGTTATATTACCTATAGACACTTTGGTATGGCGTTAGCAAATATTTCAATCTGTAGCAAAATACTATATTTTGAAAAGTTATGATTTTAGGATAGCCTTAAGGTGAAGGGATTAAGGAAGCACAAACTGGCAGTTACAAAATAGTCACAGACACATAGTAAAGCCTGGGGACATAGTAATATTGCAATGACTGTGTTAGGGTGAGAGTTGGGGTACTGGAAATATTGAGGGGAACACTATGTAAAGGATTTCAGTATATGATTGTCTAACTACTAAACTATACAACTGAAACGATGAAAAATAAAATAAGAAAGAAAGGAGTGTTCTTTGCAATCAAACAAAGCTGAAAATTGCATAAAACTAATATTTCAATTTGAAAGAAAAACACTTAAGAGTAAGTCAACATAAATGACCTAAAGCAAGGTGAACCTAGCTCATGCTTATTCACTTAATCTCTGACCTTGGCCCCCTATCTACCCAACAGTTCCCATTATCCTCACAGGACACAAAAATCCCATTAGGCAATGTGACCTTTGAACTCTCAGTGCGTCATTCCTCTACGCTGGAGGAAATGATATGGCATGGGGATCGACAGCAAACTCTTCCCGCTGGTTCTTTAAATGTGGTCCTGGCACCTTTGCAAGCCCACCTTGGTTTAAAAGGATATAAGAAAGACATCATCGGAAAAGAGAGTGACTGCCTTACTCTCTTCGTGACTGCCTTACAAAGGTGATAGAGCCAAATTACATAGACGAATTTTATAAAGGTGAATACAAATATATATGAAATTTACATCTATGATTTGTTTAGGGGAAAAGAGGTCCTCTTCAAAGGTAGAGAGGGATTTTTGTTTTGTTTTTCAAGCAGTGAGAAGCATTTGAAAAATAGTTTTGGGAGAAAAGCTTAAGAGATTACATGATTTGAAAGAAATAAAGACAAGAGAATTCAAGATTTAGAAATTCTGAGGAGATGGAAGATTTAGATTGAAAAGCATTTGTAGAGGAAATTTGGAAACAGAATGTAGGTGTGGCCATGCACAAATATAGTAGTAGAAGATAGCATCTAACCATCTATGTTCAGAGGTAAAAAGTTGGAGACTCGTTAGCCACAAACACAGTATAATGGGGAAAAAACCACAGAGCATATCAGCATCAAGGTAAAGCTCAAATGGAGACAGAACCAAGTCCAGTAAACTGTCTTCAGGGAAAACTGACATATTTTTCATTTTCACCAATTACTTTATTGATTTATATATTTTGAGCATGTTGGCTAAGTCCATCATGGTAGGACGTTGATTGTTCTCAGTTAATGTCTCAATTTGATGGCTATCAATTTCAGCTGGTCCACCTGACCATGGAGCATTGTCCAGTCAGAAATCTCTCAGACCACTTTTGACATGTTCAATCAGTCACAGCATCGTCTCCATACACTGCACAAATCTTTTCTTGTGTGTTTCACAAAAAAAAATGTGTTTTAGTTGCATTTTTACCTTTATGGAAATAAAAATGCATAATATGCTGAAAATGTTGCATATTTTCTTCCATCTTCAATATTAAAATGGCTCCACAAATATTCACCAATTTTGATAAGTGTTTTTAAATGGACGCTGGTATGACAGGTGTCACAATACGATCTAACAAACTTGTTTCAAATGAAGTTAAAGACAACTAAGCACTAGTAGAGCCATCTTATTGGGAAAAAAAATGAACTTTTTGGCCAACCCAATATATAGTCAAGGGCCATTTAATTTCATGGTGAGACCAGTCAGAGGTGTTCGTGTTTTTCTTTAGCTACCTGGTTTAGCTCCGCTACACGGTGGAGGCTTGCAGGAGCTGAACATTTTAAATTAGCCAGGGTTGTGTTTTTACCAAGTAAGCCTGATAAAGAGAGGGCAAGGGGGGTACAGATATTTACAAGGTGGGTTATGGAGGAAGAGAGCACATCAAGTGAAGAACAGATAAAGGGGGTAAGATCCATGGATTGGGGATGGATGTGTTCAACCATCTGACACATCTGAACCATCTCCTCTGTCCCTGCTTCCTGCCCTGTTTAAAGTGGTGGCTGAGAACATTGCCTGCAGTAGAATTCAGCTCTGTGCCTTACAAGATTTCTATGCTGTTCCACTTTAATATTTAATTTTGTTTATCCCTATCCAAAACACGTCAATTACTGTAGTTTCATAATAAAAAGGCTTGATGTCCAGTGAGACAAATCTCCAAATAATTCTTAAAAATTAAGACGAAATAAATTTTTGGAAAAAAATGGAGAAAATTCATCATCAACCAAAGGAAACATGAAAGAGTGTTTTTCCTGTGAAAGCAAAATGAGCCAAGGTAGTGGCTCTGACATGTAGGAAAAAATAAATGGCAAGAAAATGATAAATACAGAGATAACTCTAAAGGAATATCAACTCTATAAAGTGATAATAGTATTATAACAGCCATAAATAGAGAAAATTAGAGCACTGTGCATGTCAAGAATAATATTTAAGTCAGGTGGATAAATGATGTTTGAGGGTTTTAAAATCCTTGCATTGCCCTAGAAGAGAAAAAAGTAACAATGATTAGTCAAAGGCACATGTCATGATCTCTAGAAAGGAATAAACAATTACACAGATAGTAAAAGAATATATACTTAATAAGCTAAGAGAGAGGAAACCTAAATCATAAAAAATATTCCATTGAGGCAAAAAAGGCAAAAGTTAAGATTATAGAGGAAAGATAGCACTGATGGAAGAAATAGAAAAAGTAAGATGACACAGTAGTGGAAGGGCATTTACTCTATGCCAGTGAGAACAAAGAAGTAACTCTGTATCCCAACACAAAGAGAGTGCTAAGCTTTCTCACAGCCCAAATGCCATCAGGAATTCCAGTGGGGCTTGAATATTGTGTTTGAATGAAGGAACAGCCCAGTGGGATGCACCATGTAGACTTATTACATTGTTTTCAAATGGATATAAAAAGAGCCTTTGGATTTGTCTCTAACACGGGAAACACAAACACAAGCATGTATGTAGGCATGGCTCCTCTCCCTCCACCTGACCAGACTGTCTTCCTCTGCCCTCACACGCAGAATGCACAAGCACTTCTTTGAGGGACATCTCCGTGAATTGACTTAGACAGACAGGCAGGCAAGCATGTCCTATGTCTGGGTGCTTTTTGTTTGCTTTTGTTTTGGCTCAGGTGCTTCCGACTTCCTCAAGTATCTGCCTTTCTACCCCCCAGGACTTCTTTTATAGAAACTGTAGAGGCTGTCATCTCCTCAAAGGCCCTGAGTTTGATCATGTCCTCCAGTCACCACCAAGCCTTCTTTCAAACTAAACAATTGCAATTTGCTTCATTCCTGGAGTATCTTTAGTCCCTAGTGATCTGACCACCTGTTCAGCGCCTGAAGAGGAGGAATTCTGGGTGATCAAAGAAGAGAAACCTCATGGCTCTGGTGGACCAGGTAAGGAGAAAAACACTTTGAGGAAAAATACTTAAGTAAATTCATTTCTATCGCATGGTTCCAGAACAGGCTATAGTTTCAATTAATTGCCAGCATACTCCTATTCTTGAGGTCAAGTTCTGCCTAGCTCAAGGTTAACAGGCAGCGTGGACGGAGAAACGTGGAACATTTGAGAGAGTGGCAGAGTTGCTGGCTCCTATTCCAGTCTTTCCTCATCAGCCTTTTCTGATCTTTTAACTATCATTCTAGTTACCATTTATTAGGTGCCTCCTATGTGCTGGGGCACTTTACACACATTGCATCTAATCCTAACAACACCCCTGTTTTTCAGAGACTCAACCAAGAATTAAATAAACTGCCCAAAGCCAGACAGCTAGCGAATGGCAGAGGTGAGATCTGTGCCAGAGTCTGCCCCACAACACCTGTTCTTACACCACACTCTGTTTTACGGTTCTCTGGAAACACAGGAAAGCCTTCGGGTGACTTCTGTGTTAGTCAGACACAGCAGGAGCAAGGACCTGCAAGCAATCCTGTTACCTGATGAGGATGGAAAGCCATATTTGTTGAGCACCTACTATGTTTTGGGCACAGTTCTCGTTTTTGAGGGGTTTGTTTTAAACTTCTTAATTCATTTATTCCTCACAGTAACCTAATACATATGAGGAAACTGAGGCCTTTGAAAGTGAGCAGAGTGTCCAAGGTCACTTATTAACTTATTAATATAGTCACTAAGATGTGAAGGTCTGAGTTTGAATCCCACTGGCTTCAAAGCCTCGATAACTTATTGCTCCATATTTTAGACCCTTTTTTTTGGCGGAGGGCAGAGAAATTAATCAGAAGAGACAAGAAAACCATACAGGGGACTCAAGTGGGCTCTAGGTGTAGAGACACCTAGAATACAGGGAAAAGTCCAAGATCAGAGCAGGAAAGCAATGGGGGTGGGGGGCACTGGAGACTGGCCCCCTGGTCTGGCTGATGCAGCCTCAGGCAGGACTTAACCTCTGGGCATCAGTTTCTTCCTGGAAAAAAAAAAAAAAGAAGAAGAAAAGAAAATGCGTGTTTTGAATCAGAGTATCTCTAAAGTCCCTTCCAATTCTGAAGTTCTAAGTATTGAGAGGGCACCAACAAAGTTCCTCTTCTCCAACGAGCTCAACGTGGTGCTTCAGAGTGAGCCCCGCGGTTGCGTTCAGTGCCCGCAGGACCAGACCTGGGGATGTAGAGATGGGAAGAGAGTCTAGTGCTCTCTCTGGGTCCTTGGTCCCCTACGGTTGTCGAGCCTCTTGGAAGTGTCCCGCTTGGGTTTGACAGAAAACTGAGCGCCGAGAGTGAGTCACTTTGGGGGGTTCTGGTGGCTGACAGGCGCGGCTCCCCGAGCACCCTGCGGCACCAGACTGATTGCCGGCCACAGCTGGCGCGCGCTGGGCGGTGTCTGGCGGCCCGCCCGGGTGGGCGGTGGCCGCACGGGCGCCCCCGGCAGCGAGGGGGCGCGCTGGGCCCCTCGCCCGCGCCTGGCCCGTGGAGCCAGCGCGGCGGGCGGCGGGAGCTGCGCCTGCGGGCCGGGGCCCTAGCCCCGCGACAGCGGGAAGGCGTCGCTGGGTCCCTACGCGCTGGGGGCGGGGGCGAAGTTGCTGGAGCAAAGTCCAGGCACCTGGTCGCAGCGCCCGAGCGCCCGGCAGCTGGGCCAGAGACGCACGAGGTCCGAGGTGAGGGAGGCCCCGGCGCCCCGGGAACCCCTGGACGGTGGGCGTGGGTCCAAGACGGCGGGACCTCCACCTGGCGGCCCGCGGGCCCCGCGACTCCTGTGTCCGACTAGGATCCGTCGGGCGGGCGCTGCAAGGAGGCTGGTTGTCCTCCTGGAGCTGGGGCGGGTGCACTTGGACCTGAAGCTGTGCTTTCTCCCCAGGCTGTGATGGATCCTGAGGCCGGGAGGAACGGAACAGTCCGGCGCCCCTGGAGAGCAGAAGGTGACTTTGAACTGAGCGGCAGCAGGTACTTCACCAGCAGCCACGGCTTTTCTGTTACGCGCGAATCAGCGGGGCTAAATTCGGCCTTGGGAAGAAGTTGAGAAAATCTGTTTGATGCCTTTGGCCTTTGTTTTGGAGGTGCTTTGGAGGGTCTTGTCTGAGGTTCTGACCTCTCTCAAGGAATGTCACTTGGGCTCCTTTTGCAACAGGCTCGGGAAGAAGAGGCTGTCTTTAAAAAAGCGTCCGCTTCCCTTTGTGCAGGGTCGTTGGGTGAATATCAACAGTGTATAATCTTCCTTGTATTATATAACTCTAAACTTTTACAAACAACTTTCAAAAACATCATCTTATTTTTCATGCTTATAGACAACTGCTGCTGATGGTTGTGCTTTTAGAACAAGGGCAGTGAAGCAAAATCTCCCTTCTCCCCCTCCTTGTTCCTCTTCCTCCTAGTCTTACCCCTCCCCCTCCTCCCAGCCCGAGGCGGTTCCGTATTTCCTGGCTGGGGTCGGGAGGTGGGGAGGGGGGCCTTGGGCAGCCTCATTCTTCCGTAACCTACGCTTCCAAATCAGTTTTTGTTCCAATACAAGGGGGAACGCTCAACGCTTCCTTTGCTTAAGCGTCTTTCTCCCGCCAAGGCTCTTTGGTTCCCCTGGGACCTTAGTAAGTGCACTTCACAGGCCTTAGTAGGAGCAGAAGCGACCAGTCGATAGTGTGTTGTTTTCGTTTCCTCTTTTGCTGTGGGAATCATTTTCGCCTTTAGCCTCAAATAGTTCACGGGGCTGGTACGGCCTCTGAGTTCACACCAGGCCATCCCGAACTAACTGACCTGTGTCATGGAGTAATGACCCAGAGGGACGAATTTATCAAGTTCTGCAGTGTGTCTTCAAGCTGCAAGGAGCCTGATTAGCCAACTGAAACACGCCTATCTTGTGTTTAAACTGAAGCATTATTCTAGTCTGTTAACTCCTTACAGTAATATTGCTCGGTCACTTCTGGATACCTTGCCACTCATTCAGAGAAAATTTAACTTGCCACCTAGAATTGGAAACAGATAGATGGTGGTATTTCTACCAGGAAGACGTGGTATTCATCAGCTGGCAATTTAGTCTGGGGTTGACTGTGACTCTATAAATAGATGGCATTTTCACATGGAAGGCTATTTGTGCATTGCCCTGGCTGAGCATTTGATGAGTGCACAGAGGAGCTACCCCTGCACGACCACAACAAAATGCAGTGACACTCCAGACCTTGAGAAGTCCTCAGAGGTGGAGCTCCAACCTTGTGTTGGAAAGAGGACAGCAGGTCAGAAGAGACATGGAGAAAGTTAGGAATACAGCGAGACTGAAGGATTATAAAATTAAATATAATGAGGCTAATTTTTATGAAAAGCAGACCAAAGCGTGTACAATCAGAGGACAGTGAGCTCACCTTGGTTATGTGGGGCACATTGAAACTTAGTTCTATGCTCATTCCACTCATGCTGCCGTTGCCTGTGGCACATTCTTTTAAATATATTTAGTGGCAGATGCCTGTCCTTTGACTTTAGAAAATGTCCTAAATAATTTGGTATCAAGTTTTATGGGTTAATTTTATTACTTACTTGGAAATTTAAGGTAAATAAATGCATTTTAGGTTTAAAAAATCTCTGTCCTCATGGAATCTACATGTTTGTATGGTAGGCAGGTGTTGATAATACACATGTTGGATTAGTCTACTACAGCAAGTGCTAGAAGATACTGAATGCTATGGACAGACATTAATCAAGGCTAAGAAAACCAGGGTGCAGTGAGGAAGGAGTTTGCAATTTTAAATAGGGTGGTCAAGGCAGGTGTTATTTAGAAAGCAGTATTTGAACATAGATTTGAAAGAAGTGAGAGGAGAGAGCAGTGTGGGTGCATTCCTGGCAATGGGCATCTGAGAATGCGAAGACCCTGCAATAGGAGACTGCACGGTGTGTGCACAGAACAGCAGAGGCCAGGGCAGCTGGGGCAGCGGAAACAGAGGTGCAAGTGGGAAATGTGGTCAGAGAGGGAATGAGGAAACAGACTGTGTACGGCCTTAGAGGCCAGTGTAGGATTTTGGATTTTACACTTGAGAAACATGAGAGCCATTGTAGGCTTTTGAGCAGAGGAGCAGCAGAATGTGTCTTCAGTTTTTAAATGATCGCTCTGGTTATTGAGGTGAGGACAGACTAAGGTGGGCATAAGTGGAAGTAGAGAGACTAGGCAAGCATTCTCCTGGGCTCATGGGATAGCGATGGAAGTGGAGAGCACTGGTCGAATTCTAGATGTATTTTGCATACACAGCAAACAAGATTTCCTGATACCACTCCCCACAACCCTTCAGAAGAGTGACCTTTACTATTCTTAGGTTTATTTTTTTAGTCAAAGAAAAACTTACAGCAGTGCCCCTTTATCCACAGGGAATGTGTTCCATGACCTGCCAGCAGAGGCCTGAAACCTCAGATAATGCTAAACCTTATATATGTAATGTTTTTCTTAAACATACATATCTATGATAAAGCGTAATTTATAAATTAAGTACTGTAAGAGAATAACAATAATAACTAATAATCAAATAGAACAATTATAACCATATACTTGAGTAAAAGTTATACAGGGTGGGATGAAAGTAGGTTTACAGTTGTTTGTATGGAAAATAATAAAATAATCAATAATATAAGAAAATAATAAAATAATCAATAATAATATAAGAATAAATAATAAAATAATAAATAATAATATAAGAATAATATAAGTACTTAAGACTGTAAATCTACTTTTACCCCCACTGTATAAATGATATCTCTCTTTCTGTCAAAATATCTTATTGTACCGTATTCACCTTTTCTCTTCTCATGATGATGTGAGGTGATAAAACACCCACTTCAGTCAAAAACTTCCACCTTTTCACTTAAAGGAAGCACTTTATGGCTCCTCTCTGGCATGTCCAAATTGCCAACATCACTACTCTTGCACATTGGAGCTATTATTAAGTAAAATGAGGAGTTACTCACGCACAAGTACTGTGATACCATGACAGTCGATTTGATACTGAGATGGCTACTGAGTGACTGAAGGGTGGGTGATGTATACAGGGTCTGGCAGGAGTAATGCCACTCAGTGAGGTCGGGAGGGCACGTGAATGTCTCGCAGGAGCAATTTGAACGTATCATCTAAAATGTCATAGGGTGTGGTTGAGTGTGATATTGTTATGTTACGGAATTACACGCCTGTGACTTTGTAATAGAAGATTTTTATGTCACAAGGTGGGGGCGTTATTTGTGCCGGACCCCATACAGCACAGATACACGGGGTGATTCACATCTAGGGCGGGATGCAGCAGGACAGCACAATACTCAGAATGGCACCCAATTTAAAACGTATGAATTGCTTATTTCTGGAATTTTCCATTTAATGTTTTCAGTGCACAGTTGACTGTGAGTAACTGAAACGGCGTAAGCAAAACCGTGGGTGGGAAAGGGCGGCCACTGGGACTGAGTTGGCAGACTTTGCTGACTTGTTCACCTTCCTTCTGGGTGCCGGCTGTCTGCGAGGCAGGTGACTGTTTCTTGTTTACCCAGACATTCCTGTAGCACCTTGGACAGTTACCTTCGTTACTAAGTGATTGCTTTGAAGTATTTGCTCAACTGGGTAATTTTGACAGTTTATGGACTTCACTGTTTAATATTGGAAACATTATAATAGCTGAATAGGATAACTACTTAAATTTATATTCAATTGACTGGAAAACATTTGGTAACAGTTTTAAATTCAAACAGTTCTATATTTTTTTCAACAGCCAAGACAGAAAAAAAATGAAGAATGTGAATTTGACTGGACCATTAACATTGGTAAGCTGTGAAATAAAATGCGATAGTTCTTTCCTTCATTCAAATTTGGTGTCTTTAATCGGCAGTGATAGAGCCAGTACTTCACGACTGTCCGCAGGTGAGAACAGGTTTTCCTGCTGCACCCGCGCTGGCTTCGGCTGGCTCATTGGAGCCATGGCTCACGTTCCCGAGTTGGGTGATAGAACAGGTGGAAAGAGGCTGGCTGTGAAACAGAGCACTGCTACCTGGTTCACAGCGTCACTGAAAACTAGACTTGTGGCTGGTGTAGCTCAGTGGATTGAGCACAGGTTGCTAACCAAAGGGTCACAGGTTCGATTCCCAGTCAGGGCACATGCCTGGATTGCAGGCCTGGTCCCTAGTGGAGGCCATGTGAGAGGCAACCACACATTGACATTTCTCTCCCTCTCTTTCTCCCTCCCTTCCCCTCTCTGTAAAAATAAATAAATAATCTTTAAAAAATAAAATATTTTTAAAAAGAAAATTGGACTTGTGTTTGTAGCACCCAATGAACCCAATTCAGAAAAAAAAAAATCTGTTTGTTTCACAAACCCCCACAAATGTAGCTTGAAATAAGCTTTCATGTAGCGTGATCGTTAACTATAGAAATTTTAAAATAATTAAGAAATCTGTGTTCACATTTGGCATCCAAGATGTAACATAGAGTAACAGGCATTTAGATTCTGGGTGACAGAAGGCGCAGTGACTTTCGGCTCCACAACACAAGCTAACGTGGGTGTTTCAATCGTAGTGTCTCAGGTGGCCCAAGACAATGTTTGCCCACTTTTGATAAATGTGTGTTTCAAACTATGTGAGCCATGATCTGATGGCAAAGAAGTGGACATGAAGCCCATGTCAGCGGAAGCCTCTGGCTTAATAAAGAAGTGGGCAAAAAGGCACCGAGACACCCAGGTCTGGAGCAGCCTTGCAGATTTCTCCCAGCGCCGCCGAGCCCCTATTCATTCTCTTCTCCCTCATCCTCATGATGTTTTGGGAACAGTGTTTTTTCCCTTTCAATTTAGTGGTTTAGAGAATGAATTGTAAAAGTAGATCTGGCTTTAACCCACAGGTTTGCCTCCTACAGAAAATAAAATACCCTATACAAAGTAGGAACGTGGAAAATTTCTTCTGAATTTAAAAGTTAAAATTTAAATTAAGTTTAGATGTAATCTCTTTCAGACTCTGAATAGATAATAATTTTCGTCCTGAAAAAGATTCAGGACCAAATCTAGGTTTACTTAAGATGTTGCTATGAAACTTAATGTATTTTCAAATTTAAGCTTGAAGACAAAAATTTTTATGCAGTAATTTGAAAAGCATTTAAAACATTCTTCAATTTCATGTAAATGTTCAAAAAGGAGAACATTATGGGGTGACCTCAGCCTTGTTTGTAATTGTAGCCAGTGGCCCCAAGTGCTCCATCCTCCTTTCCCAACAGCCACTGAATCGAACCTTGGGGACACGGGTCCCTTTTGTGGCTATTTTAGGAACTTTTCTCCATTTACTCTTGACTTTACCTCCTCCCCTTGTTTTGTTCCAAGTTCCACCTGGCCTCTGACCCTTTGTTGGCACTCTCAGTTGCCCTGTGTGTTAGATGATGGAATTGGTTTGCCTTCTCTTACTGAATTTCTGGAACTCTCTGAAAACAGCTTGCTCATGTCCCCCACCCCCCCCCCCCCCCCCCCCCGCCATGTGTGTCTGACTCAGTGTTAGCTCTCTCAAGGACCTCATTCTGTGAAGTCCAACTCACCAACTGTTCTCCCAGTGACTGTTGCTTGTCCCCAAAAGGGGCTGGGTGATGTGAGGAAAATGGGTAGAGGAAAAAGAATTAAAAAAGGGGACAGATGCAAGGGACAGAAGGGAAGGTATAGAAATGGAAAGATAAGACAGTGAAAATGTAGTCTGAAAGGCAAAAGAAGAAAAAAGCACAAAGAGAGAGCCATAGAATGATTGATCAAAAACAAGGGAAAAAAGTGACAAACTAGAGAGGACTACATAGACAATGAGGAAAAAGTCTTTGGAACATTACGGCACTGATCAGCTGCTTAGTACTTGGCTGTTGTGCACTCTACTGGGACAACAGGTATCACTTTTCTAAGTGATAGTACGAAGTACATTGTCCATGAATAGTACTAAGACCAAGATCCTTGGCGTAGCCCATGGCCTTTCTTCTTCTCTCTCATGGAGTCTCCCACTCTTTGTGTAAAGAGAGTGGGATCTTCAGGAATCCCACCCCATAGAGCTGGCTACCTGAGCGCTTCATGCACTTTCTAGTCACCTTGCGGTTCTAAATCTAAACATCGCCTATTTCCTCTGCATTCCCAGTTCTTCTTCAGCTAACCCCCCTTATCCTTCATGATCCTGTAATGAGCATCATCTCTATGAGCAAGACTTTTCTAAAGTACACAGATGGGCACTCCATAGTGTTTGCTGCTTTTCACTACTGGGCTGTCCATCGATAGCTAACTTAAACCTCTTAAAGGGATCTTACCCTCAAAACTCAGAGGGTCTACTTCCCCCCTATTTGTAATTCGCCCCCTGAAATATTCTGAATGACATTTTAAAGGATGTGGTGTGTATGTGTGTACTCTTAGCTCTTCTTAATTCACTACCTCAGGAGTTCTGGAAGTAGAACTAAACCTTTATTCTTTCTGCTTATACTGCAATCATTCAACCAAATAAGATATTGATTAAACAGAGTCAGATTGATTTCTTCACAGAACACAAAATAAATAGAATCGTAAAATTAATCTGTCACTGATTTGGATTGAAAGTCTCCTTTTTCCTCATTACATTTGTTTGCAACTACTACAAATGTACTGACCTTAAATAAAAATCCAAAGAACATGTAACTGTGGAAGAGAGAAATTCTGTCCCATAAGGTAAGATAAGTATTATTTTCTTTTTTTCCAGTTTCGATACTCTGACTGGCAGGATAAATTATTTATGTCCTTGGGCACAGTGATGGCCATAGCTCATGGGTCAGGCCTGCCACTCATGATGATAGTCTTTGGAGAAATGACAGACAAATTTGTTAATACTGCAGGAAACTTCTCCTTCCCAGGTAAGCATTTCTCTCCTTTTTTTTTTTTTTTAACACATAGTACTCCTTTAACTAGGTGAAGGATTGGAAATTGATGTTGCTATTTGCCATGTACTCGTTTAACAATTTAGACATCTAGGTGACTTTAGATATCACAGAAATTGCAAAAGCTCAGAAAATTCTGCAAACATTTAGATTTCAAGAAATAGTTGCATGCCGTTTGAAAGAATAAGGAAAGATACAGAAAGCTTTGCCTCTAAATGAAGAAGGGAAGTCACTGTATTTGAGGACAGTAGCAGAGCATATCTGCACAGCATCCATCCCATTAGTGATTGCTGGTGAATGTTAGGATATGCCAGAGAGCATGGCTGTACTTGTTAGCTGTGCTCAGTTTATGGAGCTGTTTCTGCCTTTCTCGGTTCTCTCCCCCTCCCTTTTTGTTAAAATTATAGCCATTTTCTGTGTCTAATCTTTGCATCAACCACTGGAACTTGATAGACCACTTCACTAAAGAGGGAGCAGATTTAACACGAGAATGATGTGGTTTGAAACACACCGAAACGACTCTAATTACTGAAGCCAGAGGAGTCCTATAAGCTAATGTTACCTAAAGAGGGGCTGTACCAACAGCACTGGAGTGAGGTTCCAGTGGACATAGTTATTTTCACATTAGCCCAACTCTAATTAGAAAGGAAGAGTTCCATGCTTTGAACCAAGCCTGAGACTTAGTTCCTCCCAAGAGACCTTGTGGGCACCAGACTGGAGAAGGCCGAATGGAGCTTTATTGGTTAACAGACAGTGGAATATAAGGAAAAATACCAATAAAGGAAAGGTAGCTGTCCTAGCAAAGATACCTGAGAAAAAGTGCACCCTGTCATTTAGATAACACTCAGTAAGAGTTCTCAGTGTTCACCGACTGAGCCTCACGTATTTGGTTAGCACTGTAGGACTTAAGTGTAATTACTTAAGAAAATTTGATTGCTTGACCTATATAAATGGACCTACTTACATAAATATTGATAAACATTTGTGCCTTTTAGAAAGTTAAAGCATGCTTCAAATTAAAAGAAAGGCTCCTACAATACTAGTTTATTTATTTATTCTCAAATCCCGTTGTCTCTGAGAAGAACCCTTAAAACTAATCTTTTATTGTATTCGTATCTGCCAGGTCCTATTTTGCTTAACCCTCATAAGAATCATCCTGCACAATAGGTAATACCATCCTCTGTGACCTATGAGGAAACGGAGGCTTAGAGATGATCCATAACTTGTCCAAAGTTACATAGCTGGTGAGCTTTAGGACAGAATCAAATCAGGTCTCGTGCCATTCAAACCATGCGCATCATGACCATATAAATATATTAGATTGCCCATGTAAATAATTTTGCTTTCTATTTAAAAACAAGTGTGCTTGGGAAAGTTAAATGGATGACTTATGTTCAACCAGTGACCAAAATTTTAACATAAATACTATAAAGGTAAAATTGGAGTAACATAGGATAGTTTTAAAAGTCTTCAAGCAAATGAGGGGTAGGAATTTTCTATTTGTTTCCTTTCTACTTTTTAGAAACTCTATAGGTCTATTATGCATTGATTTATATGTATAAAGCAGGTTGATGCCTATATTCAGATGCATCAATCAAAAACTGATTTCAATTCAGGATTTAAAAACATCAGATTAACAGATGAATGGATAAACGACATATTACGTATCATACAATGGAATAATATTCAGCCTTAAAGAGGAAGGGAATCCTGACACCTGCTACATCATGAATGAACCTTGAGGACATGATGCTAAGTGAAATAAGCCAGGTACAGAAAGACACATACTGTACAACTCTACTTATATGAGGTCCACAGAGTAGTCAAATTCATAGAGACAGAAAGTGGAACCATAGTGGTGGGTTATTGGGCACTGTGGGGGAGGAGGAAATGGGGAGCTGTTGTTTAACACATAGAGTTTCAGTTTTGAAACACGAAAAAACTCTGGAGATTGATTGTACAACAATAGGAATATTAACACTACTGAACTGCACACTTACCGATGGTTAAGATGGTAAATTTTATGTGATGTATATTTTATCACAACTAAACTTAAAAAAAATCACTTATCACAGATAAATTAGCATTTGTGCCAATTTTACTAGTCTTGGTTTTAGAATACCAGAATAATTCTACAACTTTCTTATTTGGAACAGTTTGCTTGTTTTTTACTTGTTTCTAATTACGCAACTGAATGGCTTTGAAGCTGGATGTGGCAGACAGGTGTCATGTGCTGTGCCCAGGTCCAAACTCAAGGTCTCTCTGGGGAAATGTCACAAGCAAGTCACTTACAGACCTATGATTGCTGGAGTACTAAACTCACCAGAGTTGCCAACTTATTTTCTGTAGCCTCCAAATGATATGACCCTTGGTCTCTGATAGTCACGTTTGTTGTTGGCTGTCTTGGAGGATTTGGAAGGTGAAGTCCCTTCTATGTTATTAATTTACAATGTCTACTCTTTTGCAGTTTATAAAAGTAATATTTTTATGCCTCTTTGGAGAAAATGAAACCTTTAAATTTCATACTCACTCTCAATCCAGAGAGATCATTGTCATGTTTAGAGTTGCAGAGCGTAGCAGCAGTCATAGAAGCTGAGGGAAGACAGAGGACTTAGCTGTACTTAGCTGAGCTAGCCCATCTCGTAGAGGTAGTCTTTATTTAGAGTCCACTCTTTAGAACTGTTGGATTCTTGGACAGCTAAATGAGAAGGGATGTTAGAAGAAAAAATGGTTTAAATTACAAGAGGGTATGACAATGATTTATTGTGAATAAAACCCGTCCTTGTCAACAGAGCAAGGCCACTTTGTGACAAGGTTGTACCCTCACAATGACTCAGTTGTGCGGAAACTATGTATAATACATTCTGCATCCAAAGCCGTAAGGGCAGAGCCCCAAGAAACAGTTTTTCTGCAGAGTATCAAGAACTTGATATATTTTATGCCAAGTGTCTGTGACTGTAATGATCCAGGATATTCTGCAGGGAAATTGGTAAACACTGTGTGTCCTTGCTTGTCTTAGGATTGAGAGGAAAAGGCATTTTGAGCCCCCTATTACCTTATTTAACTGCCCACGCTGCCTAAGCCCCCCTGACATACACCACCTTACTGTTTTGTGTTGAGTATTTCTATATGACAAAAGAAATTTTAGACAGGATTGAGAAAGACAGAGATTGATTTACTTTGAGACTCAAAAGTGACAGTCCAACCTCCCTGTGTAATGTCTCCTTAAATAATCCTTAAAATATACCGTTATTGTTCATGCCCTTCACCCACCAGCTGTATGACCTTGGGCAAGTCACTTAACCTCCATAATTCTTACCATTCTCATCTTTGACAGGTAATCATAGAGTTACTGACAGAATTAAATGATATGATTTGCATAAAGTATTAAGTGAGATGATTTAAGTAAAGTGTCTGGAACATAGTAAATCACCAATAAATATTGGGGAAAACTAGCTGTGAGAACTTGGAAATGATACAAATACTATAAAATTCTGTTTAATAATCTTTAAATGTGATGCATTCTCTGGGAGCTCTTTGAAGTGAATAGGCAGCTTCAAGGGTTCCCCGTTGCCTTGGGTGCCCCCCATGCCTACGGAAGGAGTTCCGGCAGGTGAGGGTGGGAGTTCTCCATCTTGGCACATTAGAATGAAGCCGGAGCATTTTTAGAAATATGCCTAGATTCAGTCAAAGGTTCTGATTAGTGGTGTTGGGTGCAGCCTGGGCATCTGTGCTTTTTCAGGCTCCCCAAGTGATCCTAACAGGTGGATAGCATTAAGATCCCCCAAACCAGATAACTCTCTGGAGATTGTTGATAAGGCTGGAGCAGAAGTAGCATCTGAGAAGAGCAGTATTATGCCCTTTCCAGATCTCGAATCCCATGAATGGTCTAGATGTAGAACACCAGCCATATTTACAGATGTGACCATATTTACAGATCTGGAATTCCAGGTCTAGAGTTCCAGCAACACATTGGTCTCGCTTTTGTCCCCAAGCAGCAGAAATTCTTGGTTTCCAGGGGGTTCTGAAGCTGCCGAGGTTACTAACCCAAAACTAGGTTGCCATTCTTGGCCTGGGCCTTTTAGAAAGAAGCAGATCAAATTTGGAATACCCGTTCTATTTCCTAGAAGGAAAGATCAATCTGAAATATAATATCCTCACTAAGAGGTCGACTTCCACCAAGATGGAGGCATAGGTGGAAACACGGCACCTTCTCACACAACCAAGTTTAAAAACAATGAAGTTTTAGCAACAAAAATGCAGCCAAACCAAAGAAAATTGAACTATACGGAAGTCTGACAACAACGAACCCTTTAGCCAAACTGGTAAGAGGGGCAGAGCCAGAAGCAGAGCGGGGTCGGGCAGGGAAGATCTACCGAACTGACCCAGGCTAGTGACCCAGGTGCTGTAGTGACCCAGGTGCACAGGCCGCCGTAGGTGGTGGACTCACTGAGGGCTGACTGTGGTCACACACTGGTGTGCAGATAAACCGGCGAAGGAGCGAGCAGTTGAGACAGAACTCACAGACCCCAGCAGTGGGAAGCAGCAGAGGGGACCTCTTTGTCCCTCTCTGACCCTGCCCCCACATACAGCGTCACAAACCAGCGACCAGGGTGGCCCCGCCCTGGTGAACACCTGAGGCTCTGCTCCTCATACATAACAGGCACAAACAGATCAAAACATTATGGCTCAAGAAGAACAGCTCAAAGCCCCAGAGCCCATAACTCTAAGCGACCAAGACATAGCCAAACTTTCAGATGCACAGTTCAAAACACTGGTGATCAGGATGCTCATAGAACTGGTTGATTTCAGTCACAAATTAGAGGAATATATGAAGGCTAAACTAATTGAAATGAAGGGAAATGCAGGAAACCAATAGTAATGGAAAGGAAATTGGGACTCAAATCAAGGGAGTAGACCAGAAGGAAGAAAAAAATGACCAAACAGAAAAGAATGAAGAAACAAGAATTCAAAAAAATGAGGAGAGGCTTAGGAACCTCCAGGACATCTTTAAATATTCCAACATCTGAATTATAGGGGTACCAGAAGGGGAAGAGGAACAGCCATGAGTGGAACACTTATTTGAACAAATAATAAAGGAGAACTTCCACAATCTGGCAAAGGAAATAGACTTCCAGGAAATCCAGGAAGCTCAGAGTCCCAAAGAAGTTGGACCCAAGAAGGAACACACCAAGGCACATCATCATTATATTAGCCAAGATTCAAATGAAGGAGAGAATCCTAAAAGCAGCAAGAGATAAGGGCACAGTCACCTACAAAGGAGTTCCCATCAGACTGTCAGTGGATTTCTCAAAAGAGACCTTACAGGCAAGAAGGGGCTGGAAAGAAGTATTCCAAGTCATGAAATCCAAAGACCTACAACCAAGACTGATCTATCCAGCAAAGCTTTCATTTAGAATGGAAGGACAGATGTAGTGCTTCTCAGATAAGATCAAATTCAAGAAGTTCATCATCACCAAGCCCTCATTATATGAAATGTTAAAGAACTTATCTAAGAAAAAGAAGATAAAAAAAGATGAACAGTGAAAGGACAGCAAACTCACAGTTATTAACAACTACACCTAAAACAAAAGCAAACTAAGAGGACAGCTAGATCAAGAGCGAAACATAGAAATGAAGATCACATGGAGGGTTAGCAACAGGGGAGTGGGAAGAGGAGAAGGGGGGAGAAGGTACAGAGAATAAGTAGCATGATGGTAGGTAAAAAATGGACAGGGGGGAGGGCAAGAATAGTATGGGAAATATAGAATCTAAAGAACTTGAGACATGTGGTCATAAACTAAAGAGGGGAATGGTGGGGGGGGTTGTGCAGGGTGGAGGGGAATGAAGGGGGGAATAGAACAACTGTAATGGCATAATCAATAAAATATATTTAAAAAATATCCTCACTAAGAGAATTTAAAAGTCTGAGGTAGTTATACGAGGAGAGTGAATCTGATTTAATTAAGATTTCACCTGATTTCTAAGTTCAAGGAGAAAACTAGCCCTGTGCACATAAACCTTGTGGTTTCCCAAGGTTTTGAACAATGATTTTTATAAATACCACAGCTTTAGGATAGCTTGTCTGCCTCTAATTCCAAACAATTCCAAATTGACACATCCAGGTGCATATTTAAGAACTCAGGAAGGAAATGAACACACAGAACTCAACTGATAAAAATTGAAAGTAAAATAGTGCTTGGTTCCTCAAGGATCTGATAGCTGATAAAAAGCTAAATTAATAAACACTTTCCCTTGAGCATCAGTAGAAATCACAATCCTCGGGGGATTGGCAATGGATAAATGCTTAGCAATTTATCCTCATAGTAGTTTAAGTTTTTAATCAATTTCAACCTTATCTTCCTTGGGAAGAGGAGAAGGAACTCAGCACAGGAAAATTTGACCTCTGGGTTATTTACATAAGATAAAGGAAGAAAGATAAACTGCTTTCTCTCCCAGCATCACAGTGAATGGGAAATACCTACCCGTCTGTGGTTCGTTTTTTCACCAATACCTCAGTGATATTTTATCCTATTACTTTGTAAATGTAGTCAACATGGACTGTTTCCTTATTTTTTCACTTTGTGTTTTTAAAAAGCTGAAAGTAAGTGATTACCACATGAATCAATCAGTACAGTATAGTGTTAGGAGCTGAACAGTACAATGTGAAGACTTTCAGGCTTTTGCTGGCTGTGTGACTGGTAAGTTACGTTATCTCACTGTGCCTCAGTTTCCTTATCTGTAAAAGCGGGGGTTTCTATAACGGCCCTATCTCATAGGGTTGTTGTGAAAATTAAATGAATGAATACATGCATTGTAAAGTGTTCAGAACAGAGCCTGGCATATAATAAATACTCAGTAAATGCTAGTTATAGTGAGAACCAGGAAAAGCACACTGACATTTTTATTAAATCACCATATTTTGCGGACTATAAGACGCACCCCACCCACCCACCCCCAATTTGGGAGGAATAATGATTGTCGATGCTGCTGTTGAGTTCTGTTTACATTTATATTGGTGAAATAATATTTATTAAATATTTTACCACAAATTTTGCTTTAAAATTTTTTTCCTATTTTTCTCGAAACCCTGGGTGCATCTTATAAGGTCTGAAAAATACAGTAGTTCAAATTAATAGATAACTATATTTCCTTCCAATTGATACTGCTTTAAAAGCACTTGATACAGTTTTGCTAGTAAACAAGACCTGGAATTCAGGATGATTACTAATTGCCAGTGACCCACTGACTTGCATCTGAACAACTCAATTACCTTCCCTGTCTTTAATTTTTCTTCCTTTCTATTATGTAGGTCATAAGGAAACATGTAAAGGAAAACACACAGATATTAAAATAAAATCTACAGAAGCAAGTATCAGCCTAGTGCTTTGAGCCACTAAGAAGAAAAGTGCCCCTTAAGTCCTGTGTTTTCTATTCGGATAATTCCTTTTTTCCTCCTCTGCTTTATGTATATCCTCATTACCGCCTTAGGAAGCTGCTTGGCTGACTGACAGGATGGGAGAGGACCCGGAGAGGGAGTATCTCCCTGCCTCTGGACCCTAGGTGTCCTGCACCTAAACCCATTGGGTTCTTTACTTGAGTACAGAGAAAAGAGTGCACTTGAATCTGAAAAGAAGAGAGAAAAGAGAAAAGATTTTTAAAACCTAGTAATGTCTATTAATAGTTCAAACTTTCAAAAATGTCTTATTTTTGTTTTGTTTTGTTTTTATTTAGTGAATTTTTCATTGTCAATGTTAAATCCAGGCAGAATTCTGGAAGAAGAAATGACTAGGTAATTAGCTAATATATATGTACTTTTTACCTTTTGTTATACTCTTTAACCTATTGTTACCATGTATCCCATCTCCAACCCCACCATCTGGAGTAAGTTGCATCCATCATGGCCCTTTACTAACAAATACTGCAGTGTGGTTCTTAAGAATAGGATGTTCTCTTCAAACCACAGTACTGTTATCAACTTCAGTAAATTTAACATTGTATAGTATTCTGATCTAATCTACCACTGTATTCCAATTTTGTCAGCTGACCTAATAAAATCATTAATGGCATTTCTCTTCTACTTTAGCCTTCTTAATGGAAATTTCAAAAGCCTGTAACATATGTTTGTATGTTTACTTATCAATTAACACTGCCAATACAAATGAGTACTATTCCTGTGTTATGGCAGGCCTGAAAGGCTTCTGTATAGAGGAGGTTTGTAAAATTTATATTAAAAATATGTTTGAAAATACTGAAACTGATTTTATTATTACTATTATTTTTTCCAACACCTCTTCCCCATCTCATTCTCAGCAGTGACCTGCCTCACAATTAATTGGATTATTTCTTTTTAAAAAATATATTTGATTGATAATGCTATTGTGGTTGTCCTAATTTTCTTTCTTTGCTCCACTCCACCCAGGACCCCTCACTCCCTTAGGCAATCCCTCCACCATTTTCTTGTCCATGGGTCATGCATATAAATTGTTTGGCTACTCCATTTTCTATACTGTAGTTTACATCCCCATGGCTATTCTGTAACCACCTGTTTGTACTTATTAATCTCTCACCTCTTCCCCCATTCCCCCAAACTCCACTCCCACCTGTCAACCATCAAAACATTCTCAGTATCCATGACTCTGTCTCTGTTTTCTTTGCTTACTTTGTTTTCTAGATTCAATTGCTGAAAGATATGTATTTTTTGCCATTTGGTTATTCATAGTTTTGATCTTCTTCCTCTTCATCAAGCCCCTTTTAACATTTCATGTAATGATGGTTTGGTGATGATGAACCCCTTTAGTTTTTCTTCTCTGGGAAGCTCTTTATCTGCCCTTTGATTCTATGTGATAGCTTTGTTGGGTAGACTAATCTTGGCTGCTTTTCATGACTTTAAATCTTGCCAGTCCCTTCTAGCCTGTAAAGTTTCTTTTGAGAAATCAGCTGATAGTCTTATGGGGATGCCCCTTTTGGTAACTAACTTTTTTACCCTGTTGGTAAGCTACTTCTAAGATTTTCTCTTTATTTTTAATCTTTGGTGTTTTAATTATGATGTGTGTCGGAGTGAGCTGCTTTGCATCTATCTGGCTTGGGACTCTCTGTGCTTCCTGGACTTGCATTTCTATTTCCTTCACCAGATTAGGGAAATTTTTTTCATTATTTTTTCAAATAGATTTCCGGTTTCTTGCACCTTCTCTTCTTCTTTTGGCATCCCGTGTGATGGGAATGTTGGACCTCTTGAAGTTGCCCCAGAGACTGCTTATACTTTCCTAATTTTTTAAAATTCTTTTTGCTTCTTGTTGCTCTGATTGGTTGTTTTCTTCTTCCTTACCCCTCAAATCATTGATTTCATTGTCAGCTTCCTTCACTTTGCTATTGTTTCTCTGTAAATTGTTCTTTTATTTCAATTACGGTGTTCTTTGTTTCCTACTGGATCTTTTTTATGCTGCTGAGGTCCTCACTAAGGTCCTTGAGCATCCTTGTAACCAGTGTTTTGAATTCTGCATCTGATAGATTGCTTATCTCCATTTTGTTCAGTTCTTTTTCTGGAGTTTTGATCTGTTCTTTCATTTGGGCCATGTTTCTTTGTTTCCTCATTTTGGCAGCCTCTCTGTATTTGTTTCTATGTATTAGGTAGAGCTGCTATGACTTCCTGTCTTGGTAGTGGGGCCTAATGTAGCAGGTTCCTATAGGGTCCAGTGGCACAGCCTCCTCTATCACCCAAGCTGGGTACTCAAAATGTGCCCATTGTGTGGACTGAGTACACCTCCTCTTATACTTGAGCCTTTGTTGCTCTTGGCAGGTCAATGGTAAGGATTTATCCGGGCCAGTCGACTGTAAGGACTGGCTGTGACCACTGACCACCAACCTCCACCCTCCATGGAGGATCAGCTGTGCAGGGGCAGGGTGGTGGCGCTCCGCCGTGGTCTGTAGCTGTCCACTAGGTGTGTAGACTCTGGGTTTCCTAGGTGGTGCAGGCCAGGGTCAGCCCCCAGCTGTGTTTTGCTTGGGGCCACCCTACCTGAACAATAAAACAATCAGAGATGGCTGCTACTTGTGCTGGACTTAGAGATTCCCAGGTGAATACAAGTTGTGAATCTAGGCTGGCTACTGCTAGTGCCAGGCCTGGGACTCACTGAGGCCAGCTGTTGCTTGTTTGATAGGATTTATGAAGTTGTGAAGCATGAGCCAAGACCAGTCATTCCTATGGAAAAGCAGCTTGTGTGGGTCTGTAAGTTGGGTGGGGTAGAATCTCTGGGGATCTCTAAGGCATGCCAAACAGTGTTAGCCAGACCGATGGAGTCTCAGATATGGCACAAGCTTGCTGGCCCCATTGGGGGAGGGTCAGGAAAAGGGACAATGGCCTCTGCTCACATCGATGCCAGATATTTTAGTTTCCCCCGGTGCCTTTCAAGCTGCTGCCTTGGTGCTAGAGCTCAGAGGAAGTGAGTCTGAGTAGGTGAGTCTATGTGTGTGTTCTTTAAGAAGAACTGCTTGGGCCGCCAGAAGTTTTTTTCCAATGATTCAGTCCCCACTGGTTTTTGCAGCCAGAAGTTGTGGAGCTAATCTTCTGGCAATGGAACCCTGGGCTTGGCGACCTGCTGTGGGTTTGGGACTCCTTGCTCCTGAGATATCCCTCCCAAATTTTTATCCACCATACATGGGTGTGGGACCAGCCCATTCCACACCTTCACCCCTCCTACCAGTCCTCCAACCACAACAATTCCATAGTTATCAGACTTCCATTCAACTTGATTTCTGACAGTTCTGAGAGTTGCTTATTCTATATTTTGCTTGTAAATTTGATGTGGTTGTGTGAAGAGGTAAGCCATGTCTGCCTATGCTGCCATCTTGACCAGAAGTCTGAATTTATTATTTACAAAGATACTCACTTTCCTCTAATTTAATTGAATCCTCACTCCAAATTAGTTTGAATTCATAAAATTTTAGCATACTACTTAAATTTTTTTTTCAAATTCTGCTAAATAGGAAGAGGGCTTTTTTGTTCCTTATATAAACAATATGAGACTTAACTAAAACATTTAACATGCTCAACCTGTTTATTCCTATATTTGCAATATGTTGAATAGTATAAACTTTCAAACAAGATGTATAAGTCTAGAGTATTATGAAAGAAGAATCAAATTGTGTCTATAAATTGTCAGTATCAGTTTTATTTTATTTTTTATAATAAACTTTTTAATTTTTTTAAAGATTTTATTTATTTATCTTTAGAGGGGAAGGGAAGGAGAGTGGGAGAGAAACATCAATGTGTGGTTGCCTCTCATGTGGCCCCCACTGGGGGACTTGGCCTGCAACCCAGGCATGTGCCCTGACTGGGAATCAAACCTTGACCCTTTGGTTCGCAGGCCCGTGCTTAATCCACTGAGCTACACCAGCCAGGGCAGTATCAGTTTTAAAATGATTCATTAGCATTACTATTTTTTGCAGTTAGCCACAAAAATTTATCTGGTTTCTTTGACCCAATTCAAGTAAATCAATTTGCAATCATCTTCTCATAACTTAAGAAAAGAGAAAAGAATTTAATGTATATTTGTTATACTGTTTTACACAATATCTGTGGTCAGTTCAGTAAATTTATTTATTCCCAATTCTGAAGATTATTCCTGAAAGAGGTGAATGAAGGACAGTATATAAAAGAACCTTTCTATTTATTTTCCAGATATGCATATTATTACTCAGGATTAGGTGCTGGAGTTCTCGTTGCTGCCTATATACAAGTTTCATTTTGGACTTTGGCAGCTGGCCGACAGATTAGGAAAATTAGGAAAGAGTTTTTTCATGCTGTTCTCCGACAAGAAATAGGCTGGTTTGATGTCAGTGACACCACGGAACTCAACACACGGCTAACAGAGTAAGTGTATTGTTAATGTTACACTTGGGTAAAGAGGTTGTCCACTGTGTGAAAATTTGTTGTGGGGGGATTTTAAATGAAAAAGTTACTAGCTGAAGTGTTTAATGGCATTGAGAATAGATGATCTGACAGCCATTTCTAGCACTTGTTACAGCCTGTGCCACAGTGTATCTTCTCATGTGTTACTTTCTCTCCTCAGTTATAGAGTAGGTTTATTTGCAGCCTGAGCTCACATCTTACACACGTGTTTGCCTCTCATGGAGCTTACCACAGGGCCCAACAGATGCTATGTACTCAGTGAAGATGGTTGAATGAATTCACAAAGAGGCTTGTCTTAGTAATCACTGACTCTTTGCTTATTCATCAATTTGAGGGCCTGTTATATGCCAAGCACTGGTCTAGTTGCTTGTGATATGCCAATCACCAAGACAAAGACCTTTGTCATCTCGTTGCTTAAGCACATTCCAGCAGTGGGAGATGATAGATTTTTTTCTTACTAGAGTGTCTGGCAAGTGTGTAATGAGCAAGTGAAGTCAAAAAGGAGGGAAGGTGGAGACATTTAGGACCTGGTCAGCCTCAGTCGGAACTTCACTCTGAGTGAAATAGGCAGGGATGGCACTTTTTTTCTTCTGAGGAGGAGCCTGTCCAGACTTCCATTTTCAAAGTGTCGCCTTGGCTGCTGTACTGAGAATAGAGTAGACTGAGAACAGGACCAACAGCAGAAGCAAGGAGCACTTCCCTGTTATGGCTGTAACACCCTTCTAGCTTCTGCTTTTCAACAAATTGAGTTGTGCTCAAAATGGTAATGCTCCTCTAATAGGGCTAACAAATTTAATGGAATCAACTTCAATGGTATTAGCAACCATTTTTTCTTTTGTACAGTATTTACATGGGGAAAATACCATTCCAGAGGCTAAGACTCTGAAAGAGGCTTGCAGTGCATGAAGAAGTCTTACCTGTCTATGTGTTTGTCTGCTTCACCTTTCCAACCAACGACCTCCTGCCTGTAACCACTTAGGTGTGATCTTTTTTAGTGACATCTCCAAAATCAGTGAAGGAATTGGTGACAAGGTTGGAATGTTCTTTCAAGCAGTAGCCACGTTTTTTGCAGGATTCATAGTGGGGTTCATCCGAGGATGGAAGCTCACCCTTGTGATAATGGCCATCAGCCCTATCCTGGGACTCTCTGCAGCCGTTTGGGCCAAGGTGTGTGACACGGGCGTTTTCATGGGTGCTGACACACACACACACACAGAGTTGTTTTTAAGATGCAGGATTCTGGTACTTAGAATCGTGCAGATCGGAGGTAAATGTCGAGCAAAACCGCATTCAGAAGCACATTTTAGTATGGTACTCTAATAGAGAAATTTACTTTAATTGTGATTCAAAATATCACAGGTGTTACCTGAATTACACATTTTTTACACTGCTTTTATTTCTTTGGGTAAATCTTCTCGCATAATAGTTTAAGGTAAATATATGGTTATGTCTTTATTTAAGGAAACACGCAATTTTAAAATATGTCATTTCTCCCAACTGTTGTGCAAATATAAAAAATTTAAGTACAGTTCAGGTTTATTCTATTTATTTTTAACTGTTTCCATGTCAGTTAAGTGGCGCTCTGCCAATTTTGCCTGAAAGTAAGATACACATAACCAGTTCTACTTCAGCCACCACTGCAGAGTTGAGAGATTTTACTGGCAGTTTTGCTCACTCTGGTGTTGATGATTTACTGAACAAACTACTTGTATCTCTTCTGTTTTGATTCTTCCTCTTGCAGTATTTTGTTTAACCATCTTAGTATGCAGTAGAATGCCCATGAGTAGATCTGGGAATATTTTTTCACAGTAATTCAAAATTGCGACACAGTGAGGGGAAGGGTGGTCGATCCTTTCAAAGCAGGAAGATTTTATTTGTGTTTATTTTGCAATCAACCGAGAAAAAAGCATAGTAGATGTGGAGCTTGAAGTGTTCCCAGAAACGCTATTTAGAGAATCGCACGTGGATTTCCTCTTCCTGTCTCACACTCCACATACTCCGCTCCTGGGAGCACATGGCGAGGGTGGATCAGGTCTAGCTTGTGTGGAGGCGGAAGAAGCCACTGGAGCTGGTGCACCCAGGGCCTTTGCTTCAGGTCTTCGGTGTTTGGTACAGGATTGGTTGGGTGGGAAAAAGTGACTAAGGGTGGAGCAGACTGCCTTTTAACTTTTCTCCCGGTGCAAAATCACGAATGTTTCTTTTCTGTCCAGATACTCTCAGCGTTCAGTGACAAAGAACTAGCCGCATATGCGAAAGCAGGCGCTGTAGCTGAGGAGGCTCTGGGGGCCATCCGGACCGTGATAGCTTTTGGGGGCCAGAATAAAGAGCTGGAAAGGTCAGAAAGGTTCTTTGTCCTCTGGTTCAAAGAACCCACGTTTATGTTTTGTTTTTATGTTTCGTTGCTCATTGTTTCGTGGTATGTGCTCATCACTTTCCTTTTCCTAATATTAAAACTCTCCCACAAAACACAGACGCCATCACTGATGGTTAGAGTTTAATGTCACTCTGAAACAGGGCTCTGACCCTCTTGTGTTCCATGGGCTCCTTCGGCAGTCTCCCTCTTTTGAATAATGAATGATTTCAAATGCATAAAACAAAATACATAGGATAACAAAGGGCACCAATGGTATTGAAGTCCAGTTATTATAATGTGTTTAAAACTGTGGCATCGTAAGTATATGTCTCTCTTGTTGACATATTAAGTAGTAAGAGCTAATTATGGTTCTCATAGCTACTGTAGTTCCAAAATAGGGTATGGGTAAAAGATATTTCACGATATTTGTAGTGATTATAATGTGATATAGAAGTGATTTGGTATTTCTATTGGCAACAAAGTCACAGTCACTGCTAATTCTACAGTGGTTCGTTGCCTGCATTGATAATAAAAGGAAATGCTACATTTCAGTTAGTGATAATAAAGATGTAATTTTTTTCCCATTCAAGTTCCCAGGTCAAGTACCTCTGCTCTAAAGGAACTTGTTACATATAAAACCTAAATATCAGAACAAAGGCCACTGCTGAAGGGTACTCCCGCCACTTTATTCAAATGTCTGCAACCAGCTCTCTCTAAATAATAACATCCCCTGATATAGTCAAAGTATAATTCTGTGTAAAGTATTTTCTTTTGCTGTTCTGTGGGATTCCTGATACCCACGCTTCTGAAATAGAAGTCTTGGACATTCTCCAGCATTAAATAAAAGCCAAGGTTTCCCAGGTTCCTCCATGTCATTTTTCATTTTTCCACCCTTAAGCCCTCTCTGAAACCACCGCGTTCCTGGTTCTCTAATCTCTCCCTTTTTCTCTCTTACTGCTGCTTCGTGTACACAATAGCCCACACAGGCCACACTAACTCTCAGTTGGACCTCAGGATGTGAGTGTAATCAGTGCTGCTCCATTAGCTGCAGCAAGCAAGCCGCCTAAGCGAAGGTAATTACAGCATGTCCACCGCTGTCACTGGAGCCGTGTCACTGTCCTGCCACACTGGGGCCAGTGTAAATATGCCTGCACTGCCTGGAGGCCAGCCCAGGACTAACCCCCGGGCTGGGCCCGGCCTGCTCCCCATCTCCCGGGGGACGCAGCTCCGCCCAGTGAGGGCAGTGCTGGCCCCAGGAAAGGACGCTGGAAAGTTGGGTGCTTCAAGTAATTAAAAAGACAGACACTTTTTGGTGGCAGCATGTGTTCTGTACAAAGTAATAAATTCTCAACATCTCATTTGGTTAACTAAAAAAATATGTTTTTTTTTTTGTTAGAAGCAGAAACATTCTATTTTATGTGATATTTTCCCCAAAGACTCATTGTATATCCATTGGTGCTTCCCCCCCCCAACCCGGATTTAGGGAGCCAAAAGTAAAAGTTACATACTCTCTGTGTCTAGCAGGAAGAGGTAGATTTAACTTAAATTGACGTAAAAAAATTGCAGTTTAACAGAACCATTCTAGACATTTGTACCTTAGTATCAAATCCTAGAAGCCAGTAATATGAATCTTAATTACTATTCAAAAATATGATAATACAATGAGCAATATCTGGAAAGAGGTTAGGTAAACTCAAGAGTGATAGTGGTAATAGTAGTGGGAATAAAAATCGTCAGGGCTGGGCAACTATACCAGCACTATACTAACTGCTTTCTTTAAGTACCTGTCATTCTCACAGTTGTCTTGCAAGGTGGGTGTTATTACATTTTACAGATGATCAAACTAAATTCTAGAAAAATTGAGTAAGAACCCATATCCCGCAAATAAGGACCACTTCATAACCTTGTACTGTGGCTTGACAGTTCAGGGTGCATTGATAAAAAAAACAACAACAAAAAATAAAGGCCTACGTTGAAGAACATGTAAAATTCCTGTTCCTCACTCCCTGGGGCAATAGAGGGAGGATTTTCTTTTCTCTACAGAGTTGTGTTAGGAATCTAACTATTTTAGGAGTCCTGGAAAGTATTTACATTTTGCTGTGATTCTTGGTTGGCTTGGTTTCGCTCCTTCCACCTTAACCTTGATATGTGATGCTGACTGTGAAGGTGATAATGAAGCTCTTCCATATCCCAGCTATGAGAACATTGTTTGGATGGGTGAGGACCAAAGGAGATGGGTCCAGGCCAGTAAAGAGCAGGGACAGATAGGTTCTATGTAGCCCCATCTGTCTGGTCCTGAGTTGATTCACTTTCTAGGAAGCTGGGTCTCCCCCAAGGATTTCTTAACTTTGATGGTTTTGTTTTTCAAACCTCCAACTATACAGGAGGTAAATATGGCTCAAACTATGGATTGTTTACTTATTATGATGTTTTCCCCTCATTTTCTGGTAGGTATCAGAAACATCTAGAAAATGCCAAAAAGATTGGAATTAAAAAAGCTATCTCGGCAAACATTTCCATGGGCATTGCCTTCCTGCTGATCTATGCGTCATACGCGTTGGCGTTCTGGTACGGGTCCACTTTAGTCATATCAAAAGAATACACCCTGGGAAATGCAATGACAGTAAGTAGTTTTCCCAGTGTGTGTGAGCAATCTGAAAACACTGTTTATCCGCATACCTTTTCTCTATTTTCATATTCCTCCTTTCTGAAGGATGGGCCATGATTATAGGCTCTTTTCTTTTGGTGGATCTTTGCTCTGTCCTGTGGGCTGAGTTGGCTTCGAGAATACACAAGGTGTAATTATGGGTGGAGGCAAGAGAATAGCATGCAGGAAGGCCGATTAAAAAACATATACAGGACTTCCGCCAAGATGGAGGTTTAGGTGGATGTGCCGTGCCTCCTCACACAACCAAGTTTTGGGACAACTAAATATTAGCATCAGAAAACACAACCAGAACACGGAAAACTGAACTTTTCGGAAGTCCGCTAACAACAAATTCTTCAGCCCGACCGGTAAGGGGCGAAACCGGCGTCGGGTGAGGAGTTACAAAGGAGGGCTCGGTCAGACCCGGGCCCGGAATCCAGACGCGCGAATCCAGTTGCACGGGTTCCAAACCCAGGATTGGACCTAGTGAGCGACCGAGCAACCCACCGGGTGAGCGACTACAGAGGAGACAGTGGGGAGGCGGTGGCAGCGAGTTGACTGTGGTTGCCTAATTGCGCGCAAGTGAGGGAGTGAGCGGTTGGACCGGCGGCGGCGAAAGACGGCGCCGCCATTTCCCCGCTCTGACCACGCCCCCACATACAGCGTCACAACTCAGCGACCTGGGAGTCCAAGGCGCTGCTTCTCCCACTTAAAGGGCCAGAACAGACCAAAAATGTCGCAGGGAGAACTCAAAGCCCCAGAGATAAATCTAAGTGACGAAGAAATAGCAAAACTCTCAGACGCACAGTTTAAAACACTGGTCATCAGCTTCCTCATAGATCTGGTGGATTATAGCCACAAATTAGAGAAACATATGAAGGCTAAATTAAGGGAAATGAATGGAATTCCACAGGAAACCCATAGAGATGAAAAGGAAACTGGGACTCAAATCAATGGAGTGGACCAGAAGAAACCAAATAATGGCCAAACAGAAAAGAGTCAAGGAGCAAGAATTCAAAGAAATGAGGAGAGTCTTAGGAACCTCCAGGACATCTTTAAACGCTCCAATATCCGAATTATAGGGGTACCAGAAGGGGGAAAGACACAACCACCAGTGGAAAAACTATTTGAACAAATAATAAAAGAAAATTTCCCCAATCTGGCAAAGGAAATAGACTTCCAAGAAATCCAAGAAGCCCAGAGAGTACCAAAAAAGTTGGACTCAAGAAGAAACACACCAAGGCATATCATAATTACATTAGCCAAAATTAAAATGAAGGAAAGAATCCTGGAAGCAGCAAGAGCTAAGGGGACAATCACCTACAAAGGAGTCCCCATCAGGCTGTCAGCAGATTTCTCAAAAGAGACCTTACAGGCAAGAAGGGGCTGGAAAGAAATATTCCAAGTCATGAAATCTAAAGACCTACAACCAAGATTGCTCTACCCAGCAAAACTTTCATTTAGAACGGAAGGACAGATAAGGTGCTTCTCAGATAAGACCAAATTCAAGGAGTTCATCATCACCAAGCCCTTATTATATGAAATGTTAAAGGGACTTATCTAAGAAAAAGAAGTTAAAGAAACATGAACAGTGAAAGGACAACAAACTCACAGTTATTAACAACCACACCTAAAACGAAAGCAAACTAAAAGGACAGCTAGATCAGGAGTGGAAACATAGAAATGAAGATCTCAAGGAGGGTTAGCAACAGGGGAGTGGGAGGAGGAGATGGGGGGAGAAGGTACAGAAAACAAGTAGCATAGACAGTAGATAGAAAATAGATGGGGGGGGGCAAGAATAGTATGGGAAATATAGAACCTAAAGGACTTGAGACACATGGACATAAACTAAAGGGGGGTAATGGTGGGGTTGGGGGGCAGGGTGGAGGGGAATGAAGGGGGGAATAGAACAACTGTAACAGCATAATCAATTCAAAAAATAAATAAATTTAAAAAAAAACATATACAACATATAGAGGACTTCCACCAAGATGGAGGCGTAGGTGGAAGCACTGTACCTTCTCTCACAACGAAGTTTAAAAACAACAAAGTTTTAGCAACAAAAACACAGCCAAACCACAGAAAATTGAACTATGTGGAAGTCTGACAACAACAAACCCTTCAGCCAAACCGGTAAGAGGGGCAGAGCCAGCATCAGAGTGAGGTCGGGCAGGAAAGATACACCAGACTGACCCAGGCGCGTGACCCAGGCGCGTGACCCAGGCGCGTGACCCAGGCGTGCCAGCAGCCGTGGGCGGATCCCAGGTGTGGAGTAGCAGTGGGCGGACCCACTGAGGGCTGACCTCGGTAACACATTTGCCCACAGATAATCAGTGAAGGAGCGAGTGGTGAGACTGAGATGGACCTTGCAGGCCCCAGGACAGGAAGCAGCAGAGGGGACCACTATTGTCCCTCTCTGACCCTGCCCCCACATACAGCGTCACAACCCAGCAACCTGAGCCGCCCCACCTTGGTGAACACGTAAGGCTCCGCTCCTCATACCTAACAGGCTCAAACAGAGCAAAACATTATGGCTCAAGAAGAACAGCTCAAAGCCCCAGAGCAATAACTCTAAGTGTTGAAGAAATAGCCAAACTTTCAGATGTACAGTTCAAAACACTGGTGATCAGGATGCTCACAGAACTGGTTGATTTCAGTCACAAATTAGAGGAACATATGAAGGCTAAACTAATTGAAATGAAGGGAAACACACAAGAGACCAATAGTGATGGAAAGGAAACTGGGACTCAAATCAAGGGAGTGGACCAGAAGGAAGAAAAAAATGACCAAACGGAAAAGAATGAAGAAACAAGAATTCAAAAAAATGAGAAGAGGCTTAGGAACCTCCAGGACATCTTTAAACACTCCAACATCCGAATTATAGGGGTACCAGAAGGGAAAGAGGAACAGCCACAAGTGGAAAATTTATTTGAACAAATAATTAAGGGGAACTTCCCCAATCTGGCAAAGGAAATAGACTTCCAGAAAATCCAGGAAGCTCAGAGAGTCCCAAAGAAGTTGGACCCAAGAAGGAACACACCAAGGCACATCATCATTATATTAGCCAAGATTAAAATGAAGGAGAGAATCCTAGAAGCAGCAAGAACTAATGGGACAGTCACCTACAAAGGCGTTCCCATCAGATTGTCAGTGGATTTCTCAAAAGAGACCTTACAGGCAAGAAGGGGCTGGAAAGAAGTATCCCAAATCATGAAATCCAAAGACCTACAACCAAGATTGATCTATCCAGCAAAGCTTTCATTTAGAATGGAAGGGCACATATAGTGCTTCTCAGATAAGATCAAATTCAAGGAGTTCATCATCACCAAGCCCTCATTATATGAAATGTTAAAGGGACTTATCTAAGAAAAAGAAGATAAAAAAGATGAACAGTGAAAGGACAGCAAACTCACAGTTATTAACAACCACACCTAAAACAAAAGCAAACTAAAAGGACAGCTAAATCAGGAGCAGAACCATAGAAATGAAGATCACAGGGAGGGTTAGCAACAGGGGAGTGGGAGAAGGAGAAGGGGGAGAAGTTACAGAAAATAAGTAGCATAGATGGTAGGTAGAAAATAGATAGGGGGGAGAGCAAGAATAGTATGGGAAATATAGAATCTAAAGAACTTGAGACACGTGGTCATAAACTAAAGGGGGGTAATGGTGGGGACGGGGGGTAGGGTGGAGGGGAATGAAGGGGGAAATAGAACAACTGTAATGGTATAATCAATAAAATATATTAAAAAATATACAACATATAAAAGGAAATAAAAATGGAATAAACTTATGAACGAACAAATATGGATTAGAACCATCCTCATTCTGCCTTTGATTTTTACTATATGAGAAAGTGAACATTATCATAGGTAGGTCATATAGTGAGGGATAGGTCAAGTTTACGTAATCTAAAACACAAGCTATCCAAAATATAAGGTGAAAAGTTAGTTTAGTTCATTTTTCTTAAAATGAAAATAGCTTTGCTTTAAGATTATAAAAACAATACATACTTGTTACAAAATGACTAGGATACAGAATTTTAAAAATTAGGAATTAGTTAGAATTATGTATAATCCAATAATTCATATATATTTAATGATAACTTTTGTATATCTCCTAGTTCATTTTCTATATGTAAATGTACATTTTTTCTTTCAAAACTGGGATGGTATTATGGATATCATTTTGTTACTTTTTTTATAAACTAGAAATACTTTGTGATGGCCTTTTCATGTCGGTGACAATCAGAACAGCATGTGACTGTTCAAATAGCGATCTTCGATCTTTTAAAACCTGAACTTCCTATTTTTCTAAGCAAAAGACACTGAGCAGAGTGAGGCCCTTTGCTGGTGACGCAGGGCCATTATAAAGATTAATCACTGCAAACGGTTTCCTGGAGCCCTGTCTTCAGGCCCCACTGAGCTGTTGAGGCCTGTTGGGCTGGAAGAACTTCCAGAAATTGCTGTACCTTTCTTTTTTCTCATTTTGGTTTTCTCTCTGATTGTTGGCTTAGAAGCTCTCCGCTTTTCTTCAGTTTCTTGCTTTCTAAATTTTATAAAGAAGGGAGACTGAATCCCGACTTGGCTGTGCACCTTCGGTGATGAGCGTGTGCTCTCTGGCCCTGTCTCCTCCTTTGCGGCCTGTGGGCAGCAGCAGCTCCACAGTTGGGCTGGAGAGTGCTCTCTCTCCATGGTGCAGGGGCCCAGCAACACCCTGTGCACGGGGGCTCCAGTGCATTGATTTCTTAACATCTATTTTGATACAGGCTTTTTTGCTTTCTTACTGGTCCTTATCTGCATTGCAGACAGTGGAGAGATAGTGAGGGGTATCTGAGTTCCGGTTATGGGTAGTATTGTTACTGTATTCTGGGAAAAGCCAAATTCTATGTAAAAGTTTCACCATGCCCAGAGAGGCAGGAGTAATTTCTCTTCCTTTGTTTTCCTCAGTTGAATTATGCTAATAATTTGTATTCCTGAGGCTATATCCTTGGCTTTTCTGTATCAATTTATTTTCCTAGTAGAAAAATATAAAGGAAAAGGTGTTAAGTTTTGTGTGGTATAGTACAGAATAATCATGTAAAGGAATTATTAATCATTGTATACAGGTGTAATTTAGTGTTTTATAATATGTGGACTAATTCTTATATTTAAAATCTTATTAAAATATGTATGTAAAATGGTGCTTTTTAAGAAAAATTCCATGGGGCCAATATCTACCATGTTTCATCTTGAGCATCCCATATATTCTATATATAGTTAGAAAATTTTCAGAATAATAATACTGATGGAACATGCTTCCCTCTGGTTGCATTAGCATCAGAATAGCATCCCAGAAATAGGGTTGAAAAATCTTTCTGACTTTGAGTTCAGAAGAAGAGCAATAGATAGTTTGGCAAGCTAGGCAGATATTTTTGAGGTTGAAGAAAACCATTTGTGCAATGAAATACTATAGTAATGTTCTGAAATTCTTTTGCTAAAAAAAATGAAGAGGTTAAATTTGAACTCAATCCTTTGTATAGTGTGTGCTTCCAACAAATTGTATCTGAGATAGTGGACCCAACACAGGACTGTTAACTTTTCCTATTGTTCTTTTGCTCAGGTCTTTTTTTCAATTCTGATTGGAGCTTTCAGCGTTGGACAGGCTGCCCCGTGTGTTGATGCTTTTGCCAATGCAAGGGGAGCTGCATATGTGATCTTTGCCATTATAGATAATGTGAGTTATTGATTATTTTGATGCTGAGAAATTCCTTGAGGTTTGTGTAATTAAATCTGGCTTTAGTTTAAATGTCAAGTGAAAATGAATTATGTAGAGTTAACAACCTTTCCTTGGTAATGAATGAAATAAAAAAACCTCATTAATATTTCTAAAAAGTTTATCTTTAAGTAATATAATAATCCTGACCTCATTCTGGAAAAGTACATCTGTACTTGTGTTATGATTAGAGTTCAGAGCAAAGATGTTTTTCTTCCTAGTTTTTTCCCTTCTCTCTTTCATTTTGTAGCCAGAATGAGAATATTATGATTTCTATACAGGATGAGTGGGTGGAAAAATTATTGGTGGGACCAAAATTGACAGTATGTTTTGCTAGGTTGCCCTATAAAGAAAATGAACTCCATATGTTTGATATAATTTTGAATCAACTATGTTGAATAAGTTGTACTGACTGTAGTGGAATAAAGAAAATAATTTTGACATATTAAAATATGTCACTGTTTATGCACTAACTCCATAGAAGGTAACTGAAATTTGATCATTTAATTCAAGTGATTCCTCCTTCATTGATCTAAGTCATGGAAAAGTACTCAGCTTCCAAATTCATTGCAAGTTTATGTTGTCCCTCAATAACTTGGCTGCAACCAATTCTTCAGTCCATCTTCTCAACCCAATCCATTACATTTATTGTTTAGAAAAAGCTAATTTTCACCAAATGATGAAACACCTGGCTGTATCAATTATATTGCTTTGTTAATGCAGTTGTATAAACGTGCATTATCTGACCATTTAGAAAATTTATAAGGATATGCCAAAATCTTAAACTGAAATATTGTGGGAAATAAAATGAACATATCCCATATGTTCTTTTAATGAAATGCCTGTTTTCTAAGAATAAACATTTTCTTAAACACACACACAAACACACACACACACACAATCTTTACCTTGGGTTTTATTTTGTGAGGGAGATTGTACCATTCCAGGCCTTATTTTTGGGATGTGCTGAATCATATTCCTTAGAAAATGCAATTGTTTATTCTGTTATAGAATAGTCATTGAATTTTGTTTTATTTAGAATCCTAAAATTGACAGTTTTTCAGAGAGAGGACACAAACCAGACAACATCAAAGGGAATCTGGAGTTCAATGATGTTCATTTTTCTTACCCAGCTCGTGCTAATGTCAAGGTACTGTAAATAGTATTTATAGGAATTCCCAAAACAGACTGATTATTTAATCATCTTAAGTGACCCAAAGACTCTAATATTCTGATATTTGTGTGGTTTTTCCTTTTGGGGTTATATTCCTTTATTTGATAGTGTTTTTAATGAAGAAGTTGGAAGTCGTATTATTACACTGTTCCTTCTTTTCCTGTAAGGCTGTTGCTTCACCCTATAAAAATCACACCAGCAAATCCAGTATACTGCAAAGTTAAGGTGGTACGTTCACCATCTGACACTATAATACTTAACAAACTTTTCTCCACTTCCCATTTCTGGTGGGAAGATCACTCAGGATTTCGACCCAAATCCAGGGGCAGATGTAAGCAAGTTATAATACACAGTGAGGCAAAAGTAAGTTTGCAATTAGGAGTGTACAAAACAGAGTTTATTCTTGTATTAGTATTTATTAAGTGTTGTATTATTTTCCATATGAACAACTGTAAACCTACTTTTGCCCCACATTGTATTATATAAGGCTTATAATAACAATGTGATCTTTCAATTATATAATTTCTATAGCTAAATTTTATGACAGATAATATCAGGAATCCTGAATATTATAACTATAGCCTAGCCTAAAAATCATAAGGTGTTAGAAAAAGGTGCATATTGTGTTTTATCTGCAATCGTTAGAAAGTTAAGGTTATTTTCTTCCAGTAGCACTGTCAATAGTTTATTTTTCCACTGGTATTACCAAAAGTTGCTATTTTAAATCTTCTATCCACCACTAATTTAAGACAACTATGCTAGATTAAATTGTTTCATACTACTTTATTTGGGGGGGAGAAGTTGTCCATTTTCAATTGTCAATAGATTTTATGTATTTCTCATGTTTCTTCCCACACAGTAGTTCATCTAGTTCTGTAGAACTTGGTGTCATCTTCATGAGCCAGTCACCTTCATAACAAGTTTTGTTAGGTCCTGGATTTTTTGCAAGAACCTCATTAATTTCAGTTACCTCTGTTAGAGGACAATCGTGTTCACTAGCAGCTTCCACACTTTCCAAAGCACCAGACCTATCTAGTTCGTTCAATTTTGCCCCAACTTCAGGCAGACTACAGTAAACAGCTCCCAACACTTCTGTGCAGAATTGCTGATTCCCACTATTCTGATACCATTTTCGGTTGCTATACATTTGAGTCACTCCCTGAGAGCAGATGGGGGCCAGGGCGCAGTCTCTTGACCAAGCCCACCCTCAGGCCCCGGGGCCGAGGTCTGCAGGCTCTGGGCTGCTCCTAGTGCCATGCGAGCAGGAGGCATGTGGTGGCCTGGTGGTGGCAGCCCAGCTCCTCAGCCACACTGGGCCCTTGGGGGTAGAGCCTACTTGGTAGTTTTTCACATTCGAAATTGAGTCAAATGACTCTCCTTTTAGAATTTTGTTGTGAAGTGTTCTTTTTCTCCATTTCCTCACAGATCTTGAAGGGCCTCAACCTTCAGGTCCAGAGTGGGCAGACGGTGGCCCTGGTTGGGAACAGCGGCTGTGGGAAAAGCACAACGGTCCAGCTGATACAGAGGCTCTACGACCCTGATGAGGGTATGGTAAGTGGGAAGAACCAAGTCCTCCACACTGGGAAGCTAGGTACCACTTAGTCCGTTGGAACTGTGTTTTAGTAACAAATTTGCGTGTGAATGCAATTTTGGTCAAAGGGCTATGGAATGGCAATGATTCTGGATAATGCATTCAAATTTGGGGGCTGCTTTAGAGTATTCAAGATCGTAAGAGCCAAAGCTATACAACACTCCTTTCTGTTACAACTAAGCTCTTCATAATCCACTAAATCACCAGAAACTGTCATCCAAACACTGAGAAAATTATTTTTAAGGAGTTATTGGGTTTGGCCAAAAATATTTTATATCGCTGTTGTTGACAATTTGGTAATCAGGATTACAAGAAATCTTAGGACAGTAATTCAGCTCATCAAAGACAGTTGAGTTTTCTTAAACGTTGGAGTATCTAAAGGGGAAAGTGGAATAGTCTCATAAGAATTTTGGGAACATGGGGGACAGTAATAGCCTAGGGTTTATGGGTATATTTTTTCTTTGCCTCTTAAAAATTGTATTATAAATTCAAACCTACAGAAAAGTTGCAACTAGGGAACTCACTATAGCCTTCACCCATATTTACTAACTGCTTATATTTTGACCCATTGACTTTATCATCCTCTCTCTCTTTGCATGGAAAATGAAACTCACATATATGCATGTACACATTCATATTTTTTTTTCTGAACCTTTGAAAGTAAGGTAAGGGCATCATTTCCCTTAACCCTTACATACTTCAGAATACATTTTATAAGAAGGACATTCGTTTAATATAACCATAAAACAATGATCAAAAGCAGTAGTTTAATGCTAATATAACACTAACCCACAATGTATATATTAAAATTTTACCAACTTTAATACATTGGGTTTATGTGCTATGAAAGTATATTATTATGGAAACAGATAATTGCAAGTTATAAACAATATATTAGAAAGGCATTGAAATAGAGATTATAGGAATTAATACAAAGTTTTTCTAGAATACATACATTACTTATTTATTTAATAAAATTAATATACATTCCTAGAAATATCTGATATTACTAAGAATGAATGCAGGCCCATCATCATTTACTAAAGCAAACTAAGTTGTTTCAAGTATAAACATTTTTCTTTATTTTTTGAAAAAGAACCTAGCAAAATACTAACCATTGAGGATAAGCATTTGAAAATATTTTATTTTAAAAATTATTCCTGGAGTATTACATATATTTTTAGAAAATATACATGTCAGGCCCTGGCTGGTATAGCTCAGTGGATTGAGCATGGGCCTGCAAACCAAAAGATCATGGTTTGATTCCCCGTCAGGGCACATGCCTGGGTTGCAGGCCAGTTCCCTGCAGGGGATGCACCAGAAGCAACCATACATTGATATTTCTCTCCTTCTCTCCTTTCCTTCCCTTCTAAAGATAGAAAGATAGAAAGATAGAAGGATGAAAGAAAGAAAGAAAGAAAGAAAGAAAGAAAGAAAGAAAGAAAGAAAGAAAGAAAGAAAGAAAGAAAGAAAGAAAAAATATACATGTCAGCAAGGGGAAAAAAGTCCTCAGAAATTTGGTAACTCAGAGGTGTTCATGGTTCGCATCATGATATAACAGTTTTCTACCACTAAAACTATGGACGAAATGCCCTGTAGTATAGTCAGTTAATTCAATTTTTTCTTAAATCTTTCTCCAATATAAGTCAGTAAAACTGTAATAAAGAAAAGCAGTAAATTGGGATAAGTGATTAATGATATCTATGGGAAAGCTATCGTATTTAGTATTTGAGAAATTACAATTGACCTTTGACAACAAGGTTTGAACTCTGCAGGTTCATTTACAAGCAGATAATTTTCAATGAGCACTGTAAATGTATTTTCTCTTCCTTATACTTTTCCTAATAACTATTTTATCTGGCTTAGTTTATTATAAGAATACAGTATATAACACACATGACATACAAAACATGATTAATCAACTGTTTGTGTGATGGATAGGGCTTCTGGTTGGTGGGAGGCGATTAGTATTTACGGTTTGGGGGAGTCAGAAATTATTGGTGGATTTCCAACTGCATGGCAGATCAGTTCCCCTAACCCCCACATTGTTCAGAGGTCTGTTCTAATGAGAATCTAAAGTAGGATGTGAACATGAAAATTTTTCTGTATTCAGTACAAATTTGTAAAAAGTTTCAAAAAGTGGTCATCCTCATGTATAAATATATTCAAATTTAAACAAATATAAGCTACCACCTCATACATATTGTTTCCCCAAACATTGTTCCCCTAAACAAATATAAGCTACCACCTCATACATATTAATTGTTTCCCCATATTAATTAGGGGAAACAGATTAAAATGATAAAACCCAGAGCTAGTAAATTATAATGGAGCAAATACATCTACATATTCCTGCTGACATTATTAAAATCTTTCTAGAGGCTTGTTTCTTCAACCTGTATCCAGCAAATCACAAACACAGTGTATGCCCAACATACACTACTAATTGTAAAGGTAAGCACTTGTTAATAAAGAAGAGAAAATAAACCAGTCTGGTAATTCTCTGCTTCTCCAGTGATCGCCCTTCCATATTCCTGGAAGGAAATCAAATATCCATGAGGTGGCAAATACTAAGGTAAATTTTGGTGTATTAAATACATATATTTAAACACCACAAGGCCATCAAAATACTATGTAGACTAGGTAGCAAAGTGGACATTTTTATTCAAATGTATAATGTGAAGAAAAAATAATATGTCAAAAATATATAAAACAAATCAGTTATGTAGAATTATCCATCCATAAAAAACTATATGTATATAAAGTGATAAATATCTAAAAAAGCATATACTTTTTATTTCTATTTTTGCGCTTTGCTCTTTATTTCCCATTCTCATTCCTAACCACTGAAATAAGTTCAATATTGTCTAAGATATTTTCATAACACATGAAAGTCTTGACGCTTTAGCTCTCAGATGGTTTAAAGTGTTTGATGAAAATGCTCAATGTTTCTTTCAGATTAACATCGATGGGCAGGACATTAGGACCTTTAATGTAAGGTATCTGAGGGAAATAATTGGAGTAGTGAGTCAGGAGCCGGTGCTCTTTTCCACCACAATTGCTGAAAACATTCGTTATGGCCGTGGAAATGTCACCATGGATGAGATAAAGAAAGCTGTCAAAGAAGCCAACGCCTATGACTTTATCATGAAGTTACCTCAGGTAAAGGTTTTGTTGATGTAGTTGCCCTCAAAATTAGAGTTTCCTCTCACGTGACTGAGTTCTTCAAAGGTTAAGCTAATAATGTTTGCGATACAAGGGTGTCCAACTTTGCTAGGTAAGTCCCTTGAATTACTCAGTTGGAGGTTTAAGGACGATGGCCTGGTACATAAATCATGTAAAATTTTACACAGAGTGTATTAGTAGTTTTTTAACATTCAGTATTCATTTATTTTGTTACAGTTGACTCATTGCAATAGTCATAATGAAGCTTCATGTTGTCTTCATGAATTTTTAGACTCCATAGCCTTTTCTGTTTAAAATACTTCAACAGCTCTCCCATGCTTTCTGTGTTGTAGAAATTTGACACCCTGGTTGGAGAGAGAGGGGCCCAGCTGAGCGGTGGGCAGAAACAGAGGATCGCCATCGCTCGCGCCCTGGTTCGCAGCCCCAAGATCCTCCTGCTGGACGAGGCCACGTCGGCCTTGGACACGGAGAGTGAAGCTGAGGTGCAGGCAGCTTTGGATAAGGTCAGTAGACACAATACACCTAAGGACCACCAGACTGAAACTTCATGAAGATTCTTGCCAATGCTTTGTGAGTGCAGGCTGAAAAACATGAGAGCCAATGAAGCTCTCTCCATGGGCTTTATTTATTTCTCCGCTCTGTCAGGTCAGATTGCAGAGGTGGCTGTTTCATTAACTGGCTTGCTTTGACTAAGATGAAGAGAGCTGAAAGCCAGAGCTATGCAACGAGTGACATCCTTATTCTTTCCTTGCAGATAGGTCATGACTTTAATCCAAAGTAGTTGTGTAAAAATCTACCAAAAAATCTGGTTATCTAGGCACCGTCTCACTGCAAAACAGTCAAAATAGTTGCCTTATTTTGTAGGTAGTGACATCAACTTTATTCATAAGGGCAAATGGATGATTTCCTGGAAATGAAGTTCTACTTGTGTTTTCCTAAGCTTATAAAAAATAAGCAACATATTTTAAGGATGCTGAGCTCATGTTCCTGGCTCATGTATTCTAAATCTTCCACTATCATCTTTAAGCTGAAACTTCACAAGAAGAACCTTTTCTTAGGCCCTGGCTCCATGGCTCAGTTGGTTGGAACATCATTCCATGCACTGAAAGGCTGCCAGTTCGATTCCTGGTCAGGACACATGCCTAGGTTGTGGGTTCGATTTGTGATTGGGGTGCATGCAGGAGGGAACCAACCAATGTTTCTCTCTCTCTCCTTCTCTCTTGAAAAGACAATGGACATATTCTCGGGTGAAGATGAAAAAGAAAGAACCTTATCTTAGGGCACTTCAGGCATCAGTGCTGATGTCGTCTGTGATAACAAGAAGTGTAAAAACCAGAGTCAGATGACACTGTCTAAATGAGTTTCAAACACCTAAACATTGTAAATATATTTGATTTGAGATAGTTCAGAGATAAAATGCTCAAATATCAGGTTCTATCCAGATTACTTCCTACAATTTTATTTTATTTTTTAAATATATTTTATTGATTTTTAAAAATATATTTGTATGCTATTACAGTTGTCCCCAATTTGCCCCTTTGCCCCTTTTCACCTGATATCGCCATTCCTTCTAGCAGTCCCGCCCCTTAGTTCATGTCCATGGGTCATGTATATAAGTTCTTTGCGTACTGCATTACCTGTTCTGTTCTTGACATCCTCCTATTTTGTATCTACCAATTTGTGCTTCTTAATCCCTGCACCTTTTCCCCTATGTCTCCACTTCCCTCTCCCAGCTGATAACCCTCCAAATAATCTCCATATCTATGATTCTGTTCCTGTTCTGCTTGTTTGCTTAGTTTGTTTTTTATATTGATTTGTTGATATTGTCAATTTCTTACCATTTTAATGTTGATAGTTTTGATTTTCTTCTTTTTCTTATATAATTCCCTTTAACATTTCATATAATAATGACTCGGTGATGATGAACTCCTTTAGTTTTACCTTGTCTGGGAAGCAGTTTATCTGCTCTTCAATTCTAAATGATGGCTTTGCTGGATACAGTAATCTAGGTTGTAGGTCCTTGCTTTTCATCTCTTTGAATACTTCTTGCCAGTTTCTTATAGCCTGCAAAGTTTCTTTTGAGAAATCAGCTGATAGCCTTATGGGAACTCCTTTGTAGGTGATTGTCTCCTTTTCTCTTGCTGCTTTTAAGATTCTCTCCTTATCTTTAACCTTTTCTCTTGCTGCTTTTAAGATTCTCTCTTTATCTTTAACCTTTAGCATTTTAATTATAATATGTCTTGGTTTGGTCCTCTTTGTGTCCATCTTGTTTGGGACTCTGTCCTTCTGGACTTTGATGTCTATTCCTTTCACCAAATTAGAGAAGTTTTCTTTCATTACTTTTTCAAATCAGTTTTCAATTTCTTGTTCCTCCTTTTCTCCTTCTGGCACCACATGATTCAGATGCTGGTATGTTTAAAGGTAGCCCAGAGGTTCCGCAGCCTATCCTTGTTTTTTTTGTGTGTTTTTTTAAATTCTTTTTATTTCTTGCTGTTCTGATTGAATGCTTTTTCCTTCCTTATGGTCCAAATCATTGATATGGTTCTCAGCTTTATCCCCTCTACTGTTGGTTCCCTGTAGATTTTTCTTTATTTCACTTAATACAACCTTCATTTCTGCATGGGTCTGCAGGTTTTAATTCATATTTGGATAAGTTACACCACTCGATTTTAGCAATTTGTGTTCTGTAAGATTATAGCCCACTCCTCAGTCAATAACCTTTTGTGTATCAACTTTAAAAATAGTTGATGAAGCCCTGGCTGGTGTGGCTCAGTGGATTGAATACCTGCCTGCTTTGATACTTTGAACCAAAGTATCACTGGTTTGATTCTCAGTCAGGGCACATGCCTGGATTTCGCAGGCCAGGTCCCCAAATAAAGGTTACGCAAGAGGTAACCACACATCAATGTTTCTCTGCCTTTCTTTTTCCTCCCCCTCTCTCTAAAAATAAATAAATACAATGTAAAATAAAAAAATAGCTGATGACTCACTCATAATTTTTTAACCCCTCCCAAGAAAAGCCATTATCAACTTAGAGTGGTAGTTAAAAGCACAGGCTTTGGTTCTAGGCAAGCTGAGGTTGGAGTTCTGGCTTTATTCTCTCTTAGCTGCATGACCTTGAGCAAACTGACCTCTCTAACCCTAAGATACTACAGAAGTGATTGGGGAGGGAAGAGAAATAATGTCGTGGGATAATTGAAAAGATGAAATGAAATACCACATGTAAAGTTACTAGCACATGCCTCATGCATGGGAAACCCTTGATTTTGTTAGCTGCTGTTATGTTGATTACCATGACCATGATTGTTATTAACTTTAATCAATTAATAAATTGGTTACCTGTCACTGTGTAACAAACCATTCCAAATTCAGGTGTAAACTAGTAAATCTGTGGATTGGCTGGGTGGAGCTGCTATTTCCACTGGTGCATTATGGCTGCATTTTCCTGGAGGGTCAATAAAATGGCTCAGGATGGATTCCCTCACATCCTGGTTATCGGCAGTTCCACTCATGTGGCTTCTCATGGTCATACTTGTACTCATACAATGGGCTTACCTGGTTTCCTCACACAGAAGTCTCAGGCCGGGAGCCCCAGGGGCAGAAGCTATACGATATCTAGAGGCTTAGACTCCAGAACTCACACAATATCACCTCATTACATTCTTTTGTTTGTTTGTTTTTTTTTAATTTTATTTAGTTATTTTTCAAGTACAGTTTTTTTGTCTATTTCTCCCATCCCAGCCTCCCCCACCCCTTGCTCCCCACCTCCCTCCCATTGCCACCCCCCTTAGTTCTCATCCCTGTGTCCTTCCTATTTGTTCCTCCAAATCCCTCCCCCTTTTTCCCCTTAACTTCCCTTCCCTCTCCCCTCTGGTCACTGTCCCCTTGTTCTCTATTTCAGTGTCTTTGTTTTTCTTTTTTTTTCTGCTTGCTTGTTTGTTTTGTTGTTTAGCTTCCTGTTAAAGGTGAGATCATATGGTATTCGTCTTTCAGTACCTGGCCTATTTCACTCAGCATAATGCTTTCCAGTTCCATCCATGTTGTTGCAAAAGATAGTAGCTCCTTCTTTCTCTCTGCTGCATAGAATTCCATTGTGTATATGTACCACAATTTTTTGATCCATTCATTTACTGATGGGCACCTAGGTTGCTTCCAACTCTTGGCTATTGTAAATTGTGCTGCTATGAACATTGTGGTGCATAGGTTCTTTGATATTGGTGTTTTAGGATTCTTAGGATATAATCCTATGCAAATTAAAACCACAATGAGATACCACTTTACACAGGATGACTATCATAAACAAAGCAACAAACAACAAATGTTGGAGAGGGTGTGGAGAAAAGGGGTCCTTAGTTCACTGTTGGTGGGATTGCAGACTGGTACAACCATTATGGAAAACAGTATGGAATTTTCTCAGAAAAATAAAAATCGACCTGCCTTTTGACTCATTACATTCTTTTGGTCACAGCAAGTCACAAGGCTAGCCCAGATTCAAGGAGCGAGGAAATATATCCCACCTCTTGATGGGTGAAGTATAAAGAATCTGTGACCATATTTAATCCTCCATAGCACACCCCCTGCCATAATTACTTACATTTCTCTCCCACATGCAACATAAACTGACCTCTTTCCATGACCCTCAAAATTTTCATACATTTTGACATCGGGCTCAAGGTGTGACATGAGTTTACACCAGGCTCAAAAGTTTAGTTTCTGAAAATCCATATGTGGTCCAGATAAGGATGAAGTTTTTCATGTTAAGCTCATTTTGATCCAGAGACCTATAGACTAAAGAGACAAATTATACCTGACACATATGCTCAACATATAATGGGAATGCAGGGACAGGATAATGACAGGCACTCCTTTTCAGAAACATGGGACGCATGTAGCACTTAGTGGTCCCTAACAAGTCTGAAACGCATTTGGGTACATATTTGCAATTATCCCGCTTCTCCAGGGCAGGAGAATATTCCTTGATTAAAGCCAATTTTACCCCTAATAGTAGGTTCCCTAGTCCATTATTCTTGGTTTGGGGTCTCCATCCTGTGGATCCTCCTTCTAAGAGACCTTTTCTTTTGTAAAAGAAATGACCTGCATCTGTAGCTGAGTAGTTTTCTCAGCATGCTTTCTGCCCATAGAAATTTTGGACCCAGAAGCCTGTTAACATTTTTAGTCTTATCAATCTCCTTTAGTCCAATCTGATGGGCCCTTTTAAAGACTGAGTGTTCTTAGAATATGACTATGGTATACGCAAGCCCCTGAAGCTACACCCATGTTTTTTTTTCTAGACAAACCTCTCTCTGTTTTGGGATGCATGTGAAACTGGTCTGAGAAAAATCCTTACTTATGAGTCATAGAAGCCCTTTTATCAAGCTGAGACTTTCTACTACACTCTGCCTTGAATCTTTTAGAAATTTTAACCAAAAAAAAAAAATCTTATATCCACACCCTGAATTGATCTTTGAACCCGTTTCACTGATGACTAATACTTTGTTTTACC